CTCTGTCCCGTCCCCGTCCCTTGCGCCCGCGGCGGCCGTGTCCGACGCTCCGTCTCTGTAGGCAGCCTCGGCGTGGAGTGAACTGAGTTCTTCCCTTTCGGGTTTTTTTTTTTTGTTGGTCTTTTGTCTTATTTTGGAAAAAGTCACCCTGGGAGATGCCTGTGTGATGCGCAGATTTATTTTTTGTTTCCTCAATCCCCTCCCCGCAACGTCCAGACGACTCATTCAGCGCATTTCCAAAGACAAAAGCACCAGTGGGTTTAGATGCATCAACTACCCGTGTTGTGGGTCCCCCCCCACCAGCACCACCACCCCGGTCTAAGTCCTAAATGTACAGTCGACAATCAAACCAGACAGAAATGCTGACTTTAGAAAAAAAAAATATATCCATTGCAGTTTGATAGAACTACTTTTTAAAATCACACGCTTATCTCGCACTAACGTTCGCCACCATGTCTCCAGGATAAATCACCACCCATTGGTTCTTCTGTAAATAAACATGAAACGTTCTTGTATAAATTAAACCAAAAAAAAAAAAAGAAAAAAAAAATGCATTGATATATGTCCAAAAAAATATCCCTTTCCGGAAGATTTAAATAATTCAGAGAAAAAGAAAAAAACCCAACAACAAGTGAATCCCACTTCACTTTCTTTTCTTTGGAGCTGGTTTAAAATCCCAATAGGAGGACAAAAAAATGTTTAATGGTAGTAGAAATTATGAGTGTTTTACCTTTCAGTGAACATGGGAGGGAAAAAAAATGCATGTAAATATTTTTAATAGGAAACATATCTTAAACAGAACTTTTTTTGTATGTACATAACTCTTCTAGAGTTTAGTACTTAAATTGCTTCATAGTGTCTGTTAAAAACAAAAAATTAAATAAAATAAAATGTTTGTTAACTGTTTTTGTTCTTACTCAATGGCCAAAACTTTAAAGATAATGAAAAAAGACTATAAAAAATAATCTTTGCCAATGGATCTAGCACTGTAATGGTACTGTCTATTTTTTTTAATTATTTCTGTGCTGTG